CCTTTCTTTATCTGTGTATGCATCGTGATGTTTCCTCATATGCGAATGTGTAGGAATGCTGTGTGGCAGTCATGGATGATTAGGCTAGTAAGGGCAAAATAAAATAGCAATTGTAGAAATGAACAGGAGCATTGATTCAAATCTTATCCTGATTGGGCGTAACTAGAATGTAGGAAAATGTTTTTTCTGAATGAAACACACGAAAACCCTAACTAATCTTTCATTTGTTCTATTATTATTTTATCAATTTGTAGTATCGAAGCTTGGCGTGCATTAGCATTGGTCGAAACAGCCAAGATACCTTTTTTCTAGCATACTTTTATATCAAATTCTGCTAAATTTCTAAAGTTATACTTCGACAGGTCAAGTGGAAATAGGTTGCCTTTGGCATATCATTTATCAGCATATCGTTCAGTTGACTAATGAACAGAATAAATAAAGATCTTTTAAAGAATACTTGATTATCTCAGTATTCTTCTACGAATGCTACAATATATACTTATTAGTATTGACAGCGATGCTTTCCAAATAAAGAATCATTAGATATAGAAATTCGGTTCTACAGTTAGCATATATTTGTAGCAATGTTCCAATTAAATTAATTCTAGCCTGGATATTCTCACGAAGAATTCAAAGTAAAAAATTTAGTAAGGGTATTATTTTGATCCCGGTGACTATTTATGAGAGACATTCACAAACCCATAGTGGCTAGGTATATTGGGTTTAGAGTATAGCCTGCATTCCACTAAGTCAGATCCATAGTACTCATCATGAGGGATGAGTTAATTTTGTTTATTTCAGATATTTTCATTTTGAGAGCATGAAAGTCATGGCTACTTTAAAAAGTTAAGTAGTTTGTAAGTCGATTGCAAATGAGTATTTTTTAAGATGCTTTCTTTACTTGATACAAATTGTAGAAGGTAATTTATAAAAGGCCTGGCCTTTGTGAAAAGCAGAATTTAGTTAATCGTTTTCTAGTAGCGGGAGTATCCTACTAGAATGACAAATTTGATAAAGAATAGTATACTCCGTTTTGTGTATAATTATTTGAGTTTTCGAATGCAAATATTACAATAACACCCTAATTTAAGGAAATGTTACACCACTCTGGAGTTTAACTAAATTTATTCTACAGATTGCATGTTCTGTACAAGCAAATTCTATTTTTACATAGATATAATATTTAATACTTCGTAAATGGGCTGTCTCTTAGGATAGTTAACTTTAACTGATAAAGAAATTTCTGCTGTTACTATCAAATTAGCTCATTATTCGTAGCAAGTCCTAGAAAGTCCGCCTGGTTAGAAAATATCCCATTTATAGGTTTGCATAGATACCTGATAGTAAAAGGCATCTAGGCTTAGTAGATTT